AGTATTACAGTCCTGAGCCCTCATGAACTCAGCGTGTTGATGCCGTAACATAGGAAGGAATATCATGGCAAACCCCGATGGGCCACTGTGCAACTGTAGCCTGGGGTAGTTATTTTAATGCTGGGCTAGTGAGAAGGAGGATCAAGAAACATTTCATTACATTGAATCAAAAAATGAAAGATGAGTGGGTTTTTTAAATTTTTTACTGTTTATTTACTTTTGAGAGAGAGAGAGAGAGGGAGCTCTAGTAGGGGAGGGGCAAAGAGAGAGGAGGAGACACAGAATTCAAAGCAGGCTCCAGGCTCCAAGCGGTCAGCACAGAGACTGACATGGGGCTCGAACCCACGAACCAAGAGATCACGACCTGAGCTGAAACCAAGAGTCAGATGCTCAACCAACTCAGCCACCCAGGCGCCCCTAAAAGATGTGATGTTTTTTGGTTTTTTGTTTTTTTAAGTAGCACTATATTTTTGGAACTCCCAGTAACCAATATTGTTTAGAATATTACACGGGCTCCCTGATGCGAAGAATTCCATGGTGCGATGGCACCTTGTGTCGCGTTTCTTTCTCCTTTGTTACTTTATGGAGTGTCAGTTCAGGGATCCACTGTCTTCCACGTATCCTCCTTCTACTTGTAAGAGGTCACAACGGGATGGTTAAAACTGATGATCCCAGAGATAGACCACATCTGATAGGGGAACAGCCACGGCCCATTACCATTAGAAGGTTCTCCAAGAACAACACACACAGGAACTGACCCTGCTGTTCTTGACAGTCTACAGAGTCACCTCTGCCCTCCTGGCCAGGGGACTGACCTTCTCCAGCAGGCGTGGCAGGCACTGCCCTGACCTCCTGAGAGGGAGTCCTGGCAGAAATGACGATAAGATAACACGTTCCTCAGACGCTGCTGAAAGGGGGGGTGTTCTGCTGGACTCCAAGATAATCAGTAAGTGGTCATTATTAAAATTGTGATGAGCTCTGCATTTAAAACATTCAAGTTTCTTGTGTTGGGGTGCCTGGGTGGCTCAGTTGGTTAAGCGTCTGACTTCAGCTCACGTCATGATATCTCAGTTCATGGGTTCGAGCCCCGCGTCGGGCTCTGTGCTGACAGCTCAGAGCCTGGAGCTGCTTCAGATTCTGTGTCTCCCTCGCTCTCTACCCTTCCCCCACTCACACTCTCAGTCTCTCAAAAATGAATAAATGTTAAAAAAATTTTTTTAAGTTTCTTGTGTTAACCCTGCTCAAGCAATAAACTTATGTAATGGGCTTTTCCCCACCCAAATATAGTTTATAATGGGATGTTTAGAGTTTGGTTGTGGTTGTTTTTTTTTTTTTAAAAGGGGGGAGGCTAAAATGGAAGAGGTGTTACATGGGGAAGAAGTCTCTTTACCTGGTTTTTTAAATGTTTATTTACTTTGAGAGAGAGAGAGAGAAAGAACAAGTGGAGGAGGGGCAGAGAAAGAGAGAGAGAGAGGGAGAGAGAATCCGAAGCCAACTCAGCACTGTCAGTGCAGAGCATGACTCGGGACTCAAAGTCACACCTTGAGAGCATGACCTGAGCTGAAATCAAGAGTCAGGCACTTAACTGACTGAGCCACCCAAGCACCAATGATTAATATTTCTATTTTATTCAGCAACTGTTGAATTAGGCAGCTAGTACCTTTAGTATTTTCAAAATAGATCTATGGAAATGGCAAAAGTGTGGAATATTTGACAATTATGGTTACAGAGTTGCACCCAAGTTACATATATGTCTGCTTGTATACTCATTTATATGTTTACCCAATTTCTCTACCTAGACTGAATAACTCAGAAATTAGCTATTAAGTTTGTATGTATCGTCTTAAAACACTTACCTCAGTGCTAATCAAAATACTTAGAGGCACGTGGGGTGCCTGGGTGGCTCCATCGGTTGAACATCCAACTTTGGCTCAGGTCATGATCTCGAGGTCCATGGATTCGAGCCCCGCGTTGGGCTCTGTGCTGACAGCCCCAAGCCTGGAGCCTGCTTCAGATTGTGTGTGTGTGTGTGTGTGTGTGTGTGTGTGTGTGTGTGTGTGCGTGTGCGCGCTCCCCTCCCCTGGTTGCACTGTCTCTCTCTCTCAAAAATAAATGAACATCAAAATACTTGGAGGCACAGACCTTTGGAGCTAGAAAACTGTCCAAATGATTGATACCTTGGTTAGGCAGGGCACTCGGGTTTACCTAGGAAAACACATGCTATCCAGTGATGATGTTGTCTTAACTTCGTGTGGGAAGAGAAGGGGGATGTTTTTGCATCTACAAAATTGTTAATACAGCCCAGTTTGATAACATATGTCAACTAATCAATGTGAGCTACTATCTACTACCAAATAGGAATGCGTAGCAAGATACATAATTAAGAAAGGTTGAGAAGATTCCATGCAAACTAGATACTTCAGAATAAATGCCTGAAGCAAGAAATGCTAAACTCATGTTCAAAAGAGCCAAACCTTGATAATCTCCACCATTTCAGGCTCTTATACAAATATATTGAGAACCACACAGTCAGAGGACCTCAGAGGCCATCCAAATCCCACAAGGTGACCAGGTGACCTCTCCAGTATCCCAAAGCCAGTTGTGCCAAGGAAGAAACTGGATCCTAAAAAGCCTGCTGATTCCTCATCTCCTGCTCCTCATAGTATCACCTTGTTTGAACCATCAGAGAGTATTGATCCTGAGTCGTTATTCTGCTAAGGATTCATCTTCCCCACCCCCACCCCCACCCCCACCCCGCCCATGTGTGCACACCTAGCAAAAGGGTATCTTATTTAGGAAAGCCAATGGTGTGACCTGTACCTTCAAAAACAGATCCTTAGGTAAAAACATATGGGAAACTCTCTAATACCATTTTCCCCTTAGAGATTTACAAGACACGTTGGCATTTAAAGTCCTTGAGAAGCGATGTCATTTGAACAAAAAAAAGTTTAACTTTGAATCCTAAAGGTATTTGCATGCCTAGTGCTTTTTTTATATATAGCCCTTGTTAACATCTGGGAGAAGCCATGTTCCGAGGACATAGTGAGAAACGCTGCATGAGTTTCTCGATTTCCAAACCTAGGGTGTTTCAGAGTAAGTGTTGGTAATCACCAGGTTAGGAACTAGCGAGAGCATGTTTTCGGGGGTGGGGGGGGGGGTCATAGAGAATTTAAAGACTTAAAGAATGCATTTAATAGGGTCCTATTAAGTAAGACTTGGTTTAATAGAATCCTAAAGGTAGGAAGTAAATGAAACAACATGGTTTTGAAAAAAGGCTTTTAGGGGGCGCCTGGGTGGCTCAGTCAGTTAAGTGACTGAAGCTCAGGTCATGATCTTGTGGTTCGTGAGTTCTAGCTGCACATCAGGCCCTCTGCTGTCAGTGCAGAGCCCACTTCAGTTCCTATGTCTCTCTCTCTTCCTCTCTCTTTCTTCCTCTCTCTCTTCCTCTCTCTCTCCCTGCCCCTCCCCTGCCTAATACACACTCTCTCTCTCAACAACAAACATTAAAAAGTTTTTTTAAAAACTTTTAGGCTAGTGATTCTGTTAAATCATCTAAGATATGCGCAGTAAATTATACTCAAATGGCACAGATGCTAATTTTTTAATAAAAATATCACAATAGAAAGAATTTATTTTTTAAAGCTTATGTATTTAGAGAGAGAGAGAGAGAGAGAGCACACAGGTAGGGAGGGACAGAGAGAGGGCGGTTGGGGGAAAGGGAGAGAGAATCCTAAGCTGACTTAACACCAGCGCAGATTCCCACGCGGGGCTCAAACTCGCGAATTGTGAGATCGTGACCTGAGCCAAAGTCAGATGCTTAACTGTCTAAGCCTCTCAGGTGCCCCAGAAAGAAGTTTATCAGTTGCAACCCACCTTGACAATCCAAAAGGAAAAGGTGTCCAGTAGAATTTGATCTGAGGCTCCAAGGAACAGAACGCTAATAAGATGACACGTGGTGAAAGGAATAATTAACCAACCCCAACAGTCTCTGCGTTCGTCTCACGGTATTTGCTTTTATATATTTGCGCTCCAAAATGCTTTTGCAGCATCCCTAATACAGTTCTCATTTGACAAGGGGGAAGGTTTGCTTAAAGAATTCATCACTTCCCTTCTTGGTTTTTTCATCTCATTAATCAATTTCACATGATCTTGACTTATTTTCACTTAAAAGGAGTTTCAGAACCACAAAGTGGTTAAGTGTTAAGGGAATTCTTCTAGTGTAGAAGAAAACCTGCATCTGGGTTTGTCTGTTTTTTTCCAGATACAGAAAAGGCTGCCTGTTCAAATAGTGAGCAACAATGTTGCGTAGGTCATGATCGGATCTCAGTGTCAGTTTTTTTCTGCCCTCTGGTAGCCTGCTGCATTTTGCTATTTGGTGGGAGGAGCTCCAAATCAATGACCAGACTTCCTGTTGCCGTTAGCATGCCACACCGAAACTGGTCCAGGTTTCTGGGCAAAGCATGAAGGATCCAGCTTCAGAAGAGAACAGCTCCTCGCAGCAGCATGTGATGAGTGAGGCCCGGCGGATTCGCTTGGGACCAGACCTGAGTCCAGGCACACAAAACTGTCACTCAGCCAAGTGGCGCAGAGCACACTTTGCCTCTGGTTCCATTACCTCAGAAAATAGAAGCACAGCGAAGAAAACACGAGAGCTCACCTCCAGAAGCACAAGGGGAATTCTGTCCATGTCTGTTGCCTCACCTTATGCTTGAGCAAATGCAACGTGTGTTTCTTCAATGTCCTAGGACAGTGGAGTGCTAAATCCAACCTTAACGCAATTCCAAGAAAAGAAGACTGGTCAGTTCCAAACCCTGGTATCCAGATCTTAAGGCCATGTCTGTTTAAATTTAAGAAGTTTATTATAGGCTTTGTAGCAAGCTCTGCAAGTCTGTTATGTTCATCACCTTTGTGGGAAAAACAATTAAACTGTACCTAAGAAGTGATCTGCCGATAGGGGGTCGGCTTTTAACCACAACACATTTACAAATTACAGCAGGTCGTAAACCTGGGAAAATTGATCTTTAACCTGATTTAGCACAGTAAGCAACAGGATTTTCTGTGGAAGGAGAACTATTGAGTAATTAGGGTGGGAAAGGAGAGGGAGAGAAAAGGCATTTAATTGGGGCACCCTCAGTGCCCCGTGAGTACCCTCCTGAGGCCGGCCTGCGTGCTGCAGTTCCTGGCTGGCTTTCTCTGCGGCTTCACTTCCGCCTTTCTGTGCATCCCCCGCTGTGGCTATTTTCGTTCATGGTCAGGGCTGGACCCACGGGAAACTGCAGGTTACACTTCCCGCCTGAGCAGCTCCGCTTTTGTCCAGGTCTCTACCAGGGGTAAAATCAATGTCCTTTGAAAATGGGTTTTGCTGCCCCAGAACAGGCTGGCTCTCTCCCAGGACCCTCCCCAACAGGGCTTTCCTTCCTGAAACCATTAAAACTTCCCCGAGTGTACCTCCACTTACCCTTTGCTTGAGAGAATAGAGTTGTGCAGTCGCATAGCCTCCATCTACCTCCCACAGGATTTGGTTCTCACCAGTGTAAACAGATCCTAGTGATATTTCTGTTATTCCTACAGACGTTTGCCATCAGATAAGTGTTAGCTAAGCAAACACATTTGCTTTGTGGAGCCGAATGCACCACTGCTCCACAAGCCTTCTCCCGCTTACGGAAACACATTTTTCCCCCTGTGGGCAGTCACCCCACTCATTGTTCAACAGTCAATGACAAAGAAAAGCAGTGGTGGCAAATGAAGGGGAGGGGACTTACTGCCCCACTTGAGAGTGAACGCTCAGGAAACCATCCCTGCCAGTGCCTTGCTGGTGGCCTGAGGCCACCCAGCCAGCTGGGCCACCAGGTGTCACCTGCAAACTTCCAGGAAACACTCGGTCTGGATTGGGTTTCTCAAGTGAGGAGCTGGGGCAGGAAGGTGGAGAGCTGCTCTGGGGTCCCTTCTTGCCCATCACCTGTTCCGCCCTCTTGTAAATCTGGTCAGGCCTCCTGGCCTCCAGGTGATCCTGCCTCCTCACGCCCTGTGCCGCTCACCACTTAGCCTGCTTTACCTTCAGGGAACCATGCTGCCGGACGCCCGGGGGTCCCCCTCGCCCCAATCCCCTGCAGTCCTTAGCAGGCCGCCAGCAGACACGGCCCCTCAGGGTTTGGTATCCAGGATCCTCAGATGTTGGGCCCAAGGCGGAGAGAGTCTAGGGGATCCTGGCTCTGACCACCTGTCTTTCCCTATCTTTGTTTTTTTTAATGCTTATTTATTTTTGAGCGAGAAAGGCCACAAAGAATATGGCCAGTGAGAGGGGGAGAGAGAGAATCCCAAGAAGGCTCCGCATTGTCAGCTCAGAGCCCAATGCAGGCTCAAGGTCATGAACTGTGAGATCATGGCCTGCGCCGAAATCAAGAGTCAGACACTTAACTGAATGAGCCACCCGGGTGCCCCAGGGTTATGTCCCTCTTTAGACTTAAGAACATCCACTTCTCTTTTGTTTGGGACCCCGTTGTAACTAAGTATTGTTTTATTTTACATGACTTGGATTACGGACGGACCCAGGTAGAGTTTTCAGCTTGTGCTGTCCATTCCCCAGGTAGTGACACCTGCTGCTCCTCAGCTAGGGAACCCCCCACTCCCCCACCCCGAAACCAACATTGATTGACAACCTAGATACAGGCCCCGCCCCCAGGGAGACCGACGCAGGATGCATTGCTCAAGGCAGATGAGAAACATCTTATTTCTTGCATCAAAATAACTGTTGGCTCCTGTCCTTCTTTCCTACCGCCAGCGCCATGGGTCCTGGATTCGACCCCCCTTCCCTTCCAACAGCTTCCAGTGCTGTTCTCTTGCATTTTAGTCCATTACACACATCCCTACCAGATTAGTCCTCATAGACTCTGCAGGCACAGGCTCTGGTTCTTGCCCTTTGCCTGTCACACCCAACCTAAATCCACCTGTCTGGGATCACGTGACCCCCACCTGCCCTAATTTCCCTCCACCCTCCTCTCTGCCACCCCTCACCCTGCCTCCCCTGTCTTCTCCTGCCGTTCAAGTGTGACTCTCAGCCAGTCTGTGCTGTACCACCTTTGAGAACTTTAATCCCTCTTTACCTGCCCCGGATTATCATTGTAACCTCCATTGGAGGCTGGGAGGTCTCCTTGGGACCTCATGGGAAGTCCCTCTGGTATGCTCCGTGGCACCGGCCACATGACAGCTGATGGACAAATACATGTGAATCAGGAGGTTGCCAAACAGGCCAGCTCTGCGCAGTACCTGCTGCACAGATTCACCGGAGTGGAAGTTCCGAGGGCCCAGCTAGAGCCCTGGGTAGGTTTTCTCCCTAATGAGCTATCGCTGAAAGCTGCTGGTGAACATGTAAAGCCAGTGTGTCCTTGCACGCCCCGTGTACATTGCCTTGGAGACTGTCGGATTAATGAAGATAAATGTTGAGTGGTGAGAAGTTTGGCTGATTTTGCATAGTTGCTGCTTTTGACTGTGTGACTGAGTTTCTTCAAAATTAATTTCTGCTCATTTATTTTATTTTAAAAATTTTGTTTAATGTTTATTTTTTGAGAGAGGGCGAGAGAGACAGAGCATGAGCAGAAGAGGGACAGAGAGAAGGAGACACAGAATCAGAGGCAGGCTCCAGGCTCTGAGGTATCAGCACAGAGCCTGACGTGGGGCTCGAACTCACAGATCTGAGCTGAAGTCAGATGCTTAACCTACTGAGCCACCCAGGTGCCCCTTCTGCTCATTTTTTTAAGCCAGGGAACCATTTTGATAACAAGAAATTGAGAGGCAGAAATCGGTCATGAGAGCCGGGGGAACCTGGCTGGGCAGCGCGGGGGCTCCGTGTAGAAGGCACTTTGGGAACGGCTTTACTGGATCTATGTCTTTGCATTTTCTGTGCAGCTCACGAGGCAACTACCTCAATTACCCTTCTTGCTGCCCGCTCCTCCCCACCAGCTGGAGAGGCAGCTTGGGTCAGCATGGTCGCCTCTAGAAGAGCGAGCGCATCTACCAGACAGAGCTCAGGCCCTCCACAGACCCCACCAGACCACACTGAGGGGCCATGTGGGTGTGACCTAGTGAGCAAGGAAGGGAGTGTTGGCCTGACTCTGTCCATGGGGCTGTGGCTATTGTAAGGAGCAAATAAATTCCAGAAGATATTTAGACCTGCCCCAGGTCTCTAGGACCAATTTTAGTCTGCCTTGAACCAAAAATGTGTCCCTCGGAGCCCTTGGAGGCCCTTGATGTGCCAGGTCCTGGGATTTAAATCAGGGCAGACACCCAAACCGTTGTCTCGCCCGGTGTTTTTATTTGGGGGAAGAAAAGGGGGTTGGTGGTTTGTCTCCTTTGATTCTAGCTATTTCCACACACACGATCTCAGTTAATCCCTTAAATCTGATATGCAGGAGACAGATTTGGGTGAGCATTCCTATTTTACTGAAGATACTGAATCTCAGGGAGCTGAGGTCATGCCCAAGACCACACAGCACTAACCCAGACTAAAGTGATGGTCCCCATACCTTCCAGCTGACTTTGCTGGATGGAGAAGCCAGATTCTCAGATCCACAACTGATAGCTTTATGAGCTCGGGGGGAAGTGTTTTTCCCTATGAGCCTTAGTCTCCCCACCTTTTACAGGAGCCAAGACTCCCTACCTTGCTGGATTTTCAGGACGCTTAACTGAAACATAGTAACTCATGAGAAACGTGGCACAGACCCCTGTACCCCCAGCTGGAGCTCCACACACTCTGCTGATCTACACAGGATGAATATGAAAATGATTTCAAATTTCTACCTAGCAATGCCTTTAAAATGTATTTTACAAAAAGAAAGGAAAAGAAAAGAACCCGTGAAAACAGATTTGCGTCTCATTCCAGATATATTTTAAGGCTGTACTCCTTTTCGAAATCTGCAGCCAATGTCAACAAATACTTAGTTTGTCTAATCTTTTTGTGGTTTGCATAGAAGGTGGATGGAGTGTTTTTCAAAGTTGGGACTTCCTGTTTTTCCCTGATCAGTGTTTTTCTCTTAATTCTTCTTCTTCTTCTTTTTCTTTTTTTTTTTTTTTTTTTTTTTTTGCATCAGCCAAGAAAACATGCAATGCAGTCATACGGGATTAGTCTTAAATTCCATATGTGTTTTAGAGGATTAGAAATTAGGTGATATCATAGTTTATGCCCTATTTTATCTACGTAGTATATGCTCATCTTCACATAAAAGGAAGCAATTATGAAGAAATATGTTTTTTCTTCTGTGGAAATGGTCTTTTTAGAAAGACCGAGGGGAAAATCTTAGTGCATTTGAACTTGTGAGGAAACAGCGTATTCTATATTGAGCCATTGAAAGGCATTGTAAAGCTTACTTTAAAACAGATTAAAATATACAGAGTAATTAATTTTACACAGTGAGAAAATCTGTTACTATCCTTGAAGCACAATTGTTCAAATCCTAACTTTGCCATTTAGAAACTTAAATCACCTTGGAAGAGTCCTTTTTACTCTCAGTAAAATAAGAAGAAATACTTACTTTGGTTTATTCCATAGTATTAAGGAGAGTTTATGAAGCCAGAATTCTGAACACCTCAAAAATTTTCTAGAAGAGTAATGTAGCTTTTTTCAATCACTGCCACTGTGGGAACACAATATGGGTTTAGAGTAATTTAACGGGGGGTTTAATGCACCATGAGAATATTAAATCTGCTCTTTAAAGAATGCATCGAACCCATAAGGAAGCTCAAGAATGGTAAGACAGTTCTAACATTGAAGTTGGAACAATTCTTTTTTAAAATTTTTAGATGTTTATTTACTTTTGAGAGAGAGAGTGCAAACAGAAAAAGAGGGAGACACTGACTCTGAAGTAAGCTCCAGACTCTGAGCCATTAGCACAGATCCCAATGCAGGGCTTGAATCCACAAACCGTGAGATCATGACCTGAGCTGAAGTCAGAGCTTAACCAACTGAGCCACCTAAGCGCCCCAGAAATGGAGCAATTCTTAAAGTCCTACAGAAAGGCTGTCTTGTATGATGACAGTGATTTTGATGGAGTTATATCCAGAGCCCAACTCCATCTATTTTTTTTCTTTTTGCACAACTTCTGTAATACCTTTGTTCTAAAGTTCTCTTTTTGACTCATTTTGATCAGTTAGAATTCTTCTCCCCTCTGTACCGCTAGTATGGCTGTGCCGCCGTGTTTATACCTGTGTACCTGTTCCACGATCAGCCTTTTGTGTTTCTCTCTCACGGCCTTTTTACTATCTTCCGCTCAGCACTTGTTTCGTCTTTAGCTCCTGGAGTCTGTCCTCCTTCCTTCCATGCAAAAGTACCTGAATCCTTACGACAGTTAATCAGCAAGTAGCTATTCTTATAAGCCCCCTAATTCTAAGGTTTTTGAGGGATGTAAAGAAAGACTCAGGTACCTGAGTATCCGAGTGTGAGTGTCGTGTGTTTGCCTGGCACCGTGCTCTTTTGGGTCAGCGCATGTGACACGGCGGCTATAACAGCTTCACAATCTGTTTGGCCCCCTGGAT